TGAACATTTTTTCATATATTTATTCGCCATTAGTATCTCTTCATTAGAGAAGCGTGTATTCATCTCAGATGCCCATCTTTGGATTGGGTCTTTGAGTTTGGGAGGCCTGATTTTTTAAAATTCTTTATATGTCCTAGATAGAAGTCCTCTGTCTTATGGACAGTTGGCTAAAATTTTTTCCCAATTCGTGGGTTTTCTTTTTACTTTCTTGGTGATTTCTTCAGATGTGCAAAAACTTTTCAATAAGATGAGATCCCAGTTGTTGATTCTTTGAAGTACTTCCCATGCAGTTTGGTTTTTGTTCATGAACTCTGCCTACCCCAGTGTTGTCAAGATTTTTACCTACTTTGTCTTCCAATAAATTTAGTGTTTCTGTTTTAATATTTAGATCTTTGATACATTTGGACTTTAATTTAGTGCATGGTGAATAAAATTAGTTTTTAAAAATAAGGAAAAAAGGGGGTTTGGGGATATAGCTCAGCAGCATAAGTACCTGCCTGGCAAGCACAAGGTTGTGAGTTCAATCCCTGGTACTGCAAAAAAAAAAAAAAAAAAAAAAAAAAAAAAGGAAAAAAGAAGACACTAAGATAATGTCTTTCTAAATGAGAAAAAAAAACCTAGGCATACAGGGAGATTCAAGGGGAAGAGACGTATTTCTCTTGGCCCGGCAGAATGCAAACACTCATGTTCTAAGCTAGCTACAGATCACAAAGGCAAGAAACTGCAGGTAGCCTCTAAGGGCCAGAGTGGGCCCCAATCGACAATGAGCAAGAAAATAGGGACTTACAGGAAACCCAGTTCTGTTAGCAATCTATATGAACTTGGATAATGGGTCTCCAGCTTCAATTAAGACCTGCAGCATAGCTGATATTTTGATAATAATTTTAGACAACCTAAGAAGATTCAGTTATGTGATGCTTGGACTCTTAATCCATGGAAATTGTGAGGTAACAAATCTGTGTTGTCTTAAACCGTTAAATTTGTGGCTTAAAATGACAGCAACAAAAATTACAGTAACATGAACAGGGCACGATGGCACACAGTTGCACTCCCTGGTACTCTGATGCTGATGCTGAAACCCAGGAGTTCAGAACTACCTTGGGAAATATACTGAGATGCCTACTTAAAAATAAATAAAAGGAAATAAAATAAGGAAAGGAGCAGGAATGTGAAAGAAGGAAGGAGAGAAGGAGGTAGGGAAGAAGGGAAGGACAGAAAAGAGAGAGGGAAGAAGAAAAGAAAGTAAAGGAAAGAAACAAGAGAAGGAACAAACAGACACAGAAAGAAGAAGAAAAGAGGAAGAAAGAAATATTCCATTTTACACCTCCAAAACTGGTAAAAATTAAAGTAGACAGTATTAGTTGTTGGCCAGTCTTGTGCACTGACTTCAAATTATTACTATTATATTACAATCACTTTCAAGTAATTATTGTCATAAGATTTTCACATTTTAGTAGCTCAAAATGGATTCCACTGATGCATATCAAAACTTTTTAAAAATACATAAGTAGACACAGAAAACTTTGACACAAAAAATCTAAATAATCCAACTAAAATTAGGCTGGAAATCTTAAAAGACATTTCTCAAAAGAAAACATACAAATAGCCAATAAATAGATGAAAAAAATCTTACAAAACCAATCATCAGGGAAATGCAAATGAAAACCACAGTGAGATATCATCTTAGGAGAATAGCTATTGGGCCAGGGATGTAGCTCAACAGAACAGCACCTCCCTGGCAAGTGCAAGGTTGTGAGTTCAATTCCTGGTACCAAAAAAAAAAAAAAAAAAAATGCTATTATCAATAAGTCAAAAACTAACAAATGCTAGCAAAGATGTAAAGAAAGGAGAGCTTACACACTGTTGGTGGGAATGTACATTTGTATAGCCATTATGGAAAACAGAATAGAGTCCTTAAAAAAATTAAAACACAGAAATACATGATCCAGCAATTCCATTACTGTATACATTCAAAGTAAATAAAACTATATATCAAAGAGATGCCTGCACCATCATAATTGTTGTACGACTATTCACAATTGCCAAGATGTGAAATCAACCAAAGTGTCCATCAAAACCTGAATGGCAAAAGTGTAGTTCATATACACAGTGGAATATCATTTAGCCATATAAATGAAACCTCACTTGCAGCAATATGGCTAAAACTAAAGGTCATTATGTTAAATGAAACAAACCAAACACAGACAAAACCCCATATTCTTACTCATTTATGGAAACTAAAAAGTGGATCTCAAAGAAGAATGGAGTAGAAGTAGACTCGCTAGAGACCAGAAGTCAAAAGGAGGGGAAGAGTGGAAAGAAGTTAGGTAAGGGGAGACAAAACACGGGTAGAAGACTCATCAATGGAATCATCCAATATGTACATTCTATGCCTGGTTTTTCCGCTCATGTCATGTCCACGAGCTACATGCATGCTGTATATATCAGTAGTTTACTTATTTGCTCATTTTTACTGTTGAGCTGCATTCGTGTATACAAATACTCCATGTGTACAAATACTCTGGACTACCACCAAACTCACAGAATTTGATCCATTTTTTGTACTGTTTCTATAGTCATCTTTCTAAAATGCAAATGAGATTATGTTACTCATCTTACACTCTTTTAACTGTTCTTCACTGCTTACAAAATAAAGGATGTGCTCCAGAGCAAGACATTCATGAGCCTCCCACACTCTGGTCCCCGTTACCCTCTCAAAACCCACATTAATATACAATTACTTGTACCTCCAATGTCATATCTTTATTTAGAGTTTTCATATGTGAATACATTTAAATTGAGAAGCAAAGTAGAAATTTCAGTAATTTCTGGAAATCGATTCTGCTTCAGGGTATTATGTACCCTGCAGGAAGGGTCTAGATTACTTCTAAATAACCTATACATTTTGGAACTGACAACAGTAAGTACCAAAATGTACTTTGCAGGTATAATGTGATCACTATCACACAAGAATACGACTAAATCATCACAGAGACTAAGACACAAAGGCATAGTTTTTATGAATAAGCTATAATCACATTACAATGCAGTTATATGTGCTGCTCTTATACTTATTTCTAAAGTATTTTCCATATTATACTGTTTTCATAAATATTACTTTAAAAGCCTAAAAAAGTTCCCAAAAGGATGTACACATCTAGTAAGTATAACATAGTTAAACTTTTTCACCTATACTAGGTATTTAGGTTGCTTTTAAATTTTGTGTTAAATTTAGGCTACAACAAAAACATTATGTCCAAAAGTATATTTTATATTTTAGACAAGGTCTTTGCAATAGCATCTCACAAGGGGAAAAACTATATTAAGAATGTCTGAATAATTTACATTAATGTATTTATGAAACATTATCAAATAATACATGAAAATAGTATTTTAATCATCCATACTAGCCTCTCTAAGCCCTCTTCCTTAGAGACAATCTCTTTTATCATTTATTTGGTTAAGTTCCTATACTTATACTATTCATTCCCTATTTATTAAATATAGGTATTATTTACTGTCTTCCTGTCCCTATAAATGAGAATTTAGTTTAACTACACTTCTTACCTTTTTCTGCTATATCAGGTGGTTTGTCATGTAAAAAAAATTACTTAAATACATTTCTTTCTTCCTGAATGTTAGTATTTCTTCATGTTAATCTATTTAGCCTTCTCCACTTTCTAAGAGCTATGCCTTTACTTTCATATTGTTATAATTAATACTTACAATTTATTTTCAAACTGTAAAAAATTGTCTATGTGAATTGTTTCTGAAATGTGCACATTAAATAGTGTTTATATTGTAATTATACAAATATACAGTGGAGATTATGATTATGATTAAGCTATGATAATGTTCCCTCCACCAGGTACCAACTCTAATGAAAATACTCTTATGTCAAGGTCAATGGATTTAATTACAACTTTTTGTTCGTTTGTTTGAGACAGGGTCTCACTATTGCAGCCCAGGCTAGCCTCAAATTCATGGCAATCCTCCTGCCTCAGCCTCCTGAGTGCTGGGATTAAGGCATGCACCACCACATCCGACTTCATTTACAACTTTGATTTCAGCCTTTGTAAAACAACAAGAATCACACCAGGTAAAATATTAAAATATACAATTTCCTCAAACCATAGCAATTTCTAGTGTGCCACTGCTATCAGAGCCTAATGATCTAATTCCAAATTTAATACTAATACAGTATTTTGTACGTGCATCCAAATTTTGTGCTGGCCACTAGAGATCCAAGAGAAGTCATAAGGCATTCCCACCTGCCAGAGCATCCCGATAAAGCTGCACGAAGTGGTTAAAGATGTCTTTCGGCAGACACTTCTCATCTGGTAGACACTGCAGAAGAATGACTATCTCAGACTGCCCCACGGCATGCATCCCCTTGGTTGTGAAACACCAGCACTTCCTATTTACATCTAAAAATAGAATAAAAATAGAAAATGCAGACATTCTTCTCAATCCTTACCCTCAAATATACAGACATTATAACAAAGAATAAAACAGGTCATATTGAGTCTGTATAATTCAAGTAAACAAAGAACTATTACAGAAAATAAAGCATGTCAATGTCTCTAGCTCTTTCCTCAACACTTAGAAAAGCAACTGGAAGGATATAAAACAAAAAATGGTGAGAGAAACACTTAAACTCCTATTACTAAAAGGCATAATTATTATAAGAAACAATATTCTATCAGTGACAAAATAAACACAACCAAAATAGACCATAAAGGTTACAAGATAGTCTTCCACCTTTATACCAAAAAATCATGTAACTAATGGAAATAATTAATTATGTAATATCAGAAATAACAACAAAAGTCAGTATTACAGCTTTGGCTTCAGGTTGTGACCTAAAGGAAGTACATTTTATGGATATTGATTAAATTTATTCTACGACTAAAAGACACTAGGTAGTCCTTTCTGGAAAAAATTCTAGATAACTAACAGCATAGGGGCTGGGGATTTAGCTCAGCGGCAAAAGCGCCTGCCTGGCAAGCGCAAGGTCGTGAGTTTGGTTCCCGGTACCGGAGAAAAACCAAAAAAAAAAAAAAAAAAAAAAAAAAAACTAACAGCATGACTTTACTCAAGTTTTAAGCTGCTATAAAGTGAAAAAAAGCAGGCTTCTCTAGACTGTTTACTTCTACTTCTTCACTTGAAAGCTAAGAAAAGTTCAAACATCACAAACAGTAAAAAAAAAAAAAGTGTCCAATCCTTGAAACTTTTATCATTTCTATTCTAAAACAATACAATCCTCAAAGGAAATAAAAAAGGACTCAAATAAAATTATGCATACTACATTTATATAAAAACTAATAAAAGATCTCTTTCATTCTGAAAATTTTTACCTTTTGAATCAAGGAAGTACCCAATTCAACTATATTAAGATGGTATCCACTTCACTTTCAAATATGGTTCTGCACTATAACTAACATTTCTGGGATTAAAACTTAGCACATACATTGTTTGGCCCTCCTGAATAATTTATTGACTTTCAGCTATTTTGGTGGTGAGTTGTGACTCAGCACACCATTATCTCAAGAACTTAACTCAGATAAGTTCAAGATCTGTGTGACTTTACTCTATGGAGAATTCACTTATTTCACCCCAGCAACTAAAGGCAAGAGTTTCAGTTAGTCCCACAGTTGTCCTCTGGGACATTACTACTATTATTATTGTTACTATTATTTTGTGGGTACCAGGAATTGAACTCAGGACCTTGCACTTGCCAGGCAGGTGCTTGTGCCGCTCAGCTATATCCCTAGCCCCTGGAACATACTATTTTATATATCAGCTTCTTCAGGACCTGGGTTTCAGTTAAGATGCAGCTTTACTTAAAAATATTTGTGTGCAATAAATCTGAAAGCTTTATATACTATCTATAGTCTATAAATTAATTTGTTTTAATTAAAACAAATACATTTCTAACTTACAGTTTACAATTTTAACCACTGACAACAAATTTGCATTTAAAACAAATACAAGCGGATCAGGGCCACCATCTTCTAATTGCTGCATTACTGATATTTGTGATGGTTTCTCTTCCACAGCATAGTCTATAAGGAGAGAAAACATTACAACAGATTGGTTAAAGGGACAAAATGAGAAAGGAATCTGATGGACAATGGGCTGATTATTCACAAGAAAAAGACAAGCATTTGATTTATAGATACATTAAAGAGAAGTCCTCATTTTTCCCTGTTGTCCCAGGGTCACGAGAATACTGTCTTTTTTTTTTTTTTTTTTTAAAGAATAAAAGAAGGATAACATAATAATAGGGGGGACTTAGCAAATTACAGACAAAATGGTAGGAAATTATCAATGGTTATCATTTTACATATTATTGTCTACAAAATAGTTTCTCAGGAAAACAAATAGACAAATAATAGTGAGTTACAGACAAAAGAGGTAGGAGATTATCAAGAGTTGTTGTACTATACTTTGGTATCTTCAAAGTGGCTTCTAAAGAAAATAAATAGAGCTATACATGAGTGACCTATTGAAAAATCATTAACTATTCTCAATGGTTGTTGTAGGAAACACATAATAATAAACAGACATCCATTTATGAAATAGGATAGGAACATTACAAACTTTACACAGTTATGGATAGATTAGTAGGAAAATATCAATGGCTGCTGTAATACGTGGTGGTATCTTCAGAGTGGTTTCTCAGGAAGACAGAGATATGCAAGAGGGACCTATTAAGTAGTTACAGCCTAAGGGTTGTCAAAAATAGCATATTACCTCCTCACCAGTGACTCCTTTCACTGAGGTATGATGGCTGGAAGGAAGGCCAGGATTGAAAAGAAGGACCGAGAGACTTGCACCTGTGTCTAGCAACAGGCTGTTTTCTTGTTCCTCCATAGTCATGATTACCCAGGACTCCTCGATGGAGATGACGGTCTGGCCAGAGGGAGAAGGCAGACCATGCCCCAAGCCCTCTCATTCCTGTTGGACTAACTGGTAGCATGGGTCTGAGCTCTGGGGCCTCCACCTCAGAGGGCAGACCGATCTCCAGTGGTCTCCTTTGCATCCAGGGGAGAATACTGTCTTTTACTCTGAAAAGGGACCCTGCTCAGTTTGGACAACAGTAAGTTTACTCTATTTATAGACCTCTCCTCACATGGTTTGTGGCAAATCTAAAAATGAATCCTTTATAAAGCAAAAATTTCCAACTCACATAACAAGAATGTCATATAATAAATGTTCTAAGACCAACATTTGAAATAACCCAACATTAAAGATCAAATCCAAGGCCTAACACACACTAAAAATATTTTTAACAGTAAAACTGACATTCAAACTTCCATCACGTTTATTGTATGTATCTTTCTGAATGTCTTACTTCACAACAGAAAGCTAAAATTAATGCCCTGACTGATCAGCGTGCGCCAATTCTAAGACAATAAGCAACTCTTCAGAGTATCATGGTCTTGGAAATACAAAGAAAAAATTTCTAAAAACTACGTTTACATCATAATTAATACTATATCACCCCAAAGAATGCAATGACATCATAAATAAAACCCCAAACATCTGCCATAAAATAGTATGTGTTTTGTTCTGTTCTGTTTTTAGGTTTCTTTGAGACAGAGTCTCACTATGTAGCCCAGGCTGGCCTTGAACTCCTGACAGTTCTCCTGCCTTAACCTCCCAAGTGCTGAGATTACAAGCATGCGCCACCAAGCCCAGCTGCTATTAAATAATCAGTAATAGCAACAAGTGTTTTCATGGCATTGGGATAGCTGCTTTTTTGTTGTACAGGAGATGGAGGGTTATCATGCAAATTCTGTCTCCTCTTACTCAGAAGGCAACATCTGGCATATATAATTAGCCTCGCTCAAATGTAAGAACTCTACATACCTCCTTTTACACCAGTGGAGATCAGAATGGGAGGAAGGCCATCTTCAGGAATAAGATTCATTGCACTTCCAACAGGACTTCCAACCTGAGTTATATTCCCAGAGAACAGAGAAATATCCACCTAGGGAAAGCAAATCAGCAAAGCAAGCATTATGGAGTATAAGCTTTTGCTAGAATATAGTTAGTAATGTAAATGGGAATTTAAGTGAAAATTTGAAAGTCATACTTTTGTTTGTTTTGGTTTTGTTTTGTTTTTTCAGACAGGGTCTTACTACATAGCTAAGGCTGGCCTCCAACTCACTATGTAGGGTCTCACTACATAGTCAAGGCTGGCCTCAAACTGACAGTGAGTTCCTTCCCAAGTGCTGAGATTATAGGCATGACACATTCAGCTGAAATTCATACTTTTGCAAACACTGCTCAAGATAACTAAAATGCAGTTTTATTCATAATAAAAACTAGAAATAATCCTAATATCCACCAACAGGGAAACAGATAAATTGTAGCATATTCATACAATGGAATACTACTCAGTAATAAAAAAATTAGTTTTTTTGCCAGGTATGGTAATGCAAGAGCACCACCAGCACTTGGGAAGCTGAGGCAGAACAATCACAGAGAGTTTGAGGTCAGCTTGGGCTACATAGTGAGGTCAAGGCCATTCTGAAATACATAGCAAGACTCTTTCAAAAAAATTTTTTTGAGGGGTACACACAATATGGATAAATCTTGTAAATATAAGGCTGAGCTTACAAAATTAAACCTAAAACATTATATACTATATTTACATTTATATGAAATTTAAAAGCAGGCAAAAACAATCTATGGCAGTGATAGCTAACCTCTTTAAGAGCTTTCAATGATTGCGTGCCATAGGTTCGCCACCACCAATCTATGGTAACAAGTCAGAATAATGGTTATGTAGTTGGGGAGGGGCAGGTATTGATAGAAAAAGTGCATAAGTGAACCCTCTGCAGTGGTAAGTTTTGTCCCTTCAACTAGTTCCTATAGCTATAGATAATATAAACTACATATGTGTAGGTGTGTGTACATATACACACATATATATATGAAAAACAGTATGATGTTTTGTCAACAGATGGTGTTACCCTCATATGAGGATCTCTGGAGGATGTCATATATCACAGAAAACCCACTACACTGCTGGTCTTTAGAAAAGAAATTGAAAAGGCATGCGCAGCAATCTTGATAACCAAGGCTACCCAAGCAGCAATTCACCATACTAATAAATGTCTGGAAGTTAATGGTCACAATTTGAGTACCTCTTGTAATTGTAGCAGCCAAAGATAACCTGTATGAATCTCAAGATATCTCAATAAATTTAGTATTAAAATATATATAAGTTTTTCTTTTCCTGGCAGGTGTATACATTTTTGGCAGATTCTGTATATATCAAGTTGTCTCCTAAAAGTTAATGCTCTTTAAGCACTTAAAAGCACTGAAAAATATTAAAGCTGTTTTTAAAAATATGTTCATGTCTTGCCATACTTTGATCTCTACTATATATAATTTAGGACTCTAACATTTTAGTAGGTTTTTGCTAAAATTTTTCAGGGTGGTCAATATGGCATCATATAAAAAGAGATTTGGAAAATTTTATTAATGAACCATTATCAATTGATTTGAAGGGCTGCTGTAGGAAATAATTGATTCCAACCTGCTATTTAATAATAAATAAATCTACCTATTAATATCAAATGAAGTGGCCATCTGGCATCTACTTAAATAGCTTCTAGAAAAGTAATTTACTCCATTTGTGAAGCATCTATTAAGTGCCAGGCACTTTACTAAGGCTTCAAAATGAGAAAAAAAAAAACTCCAGTCTAACAGAGTATAGTTTTAAATCAATTTATCAAGTAAATGTTAAAATAGAAAGGTGAGCAATGTAAAAGCACTGAAATAAAATAATTAACTTGGTTTAGTTTTTTTGTTTCCCCATAGCATTCACTCACTAGAGGTTTTGTTGTTTTTTGTTTTTTTTTTTTTTTTTTTTTTTCCGGTCTTTTTGCGACAGGTTCTCACTATGCAGTTCAGGCCAGCCTTGAGCTTACTTTGTAGCTCAGTCTGGTCTCGAATTTATAATGATCCTCCTGCCTCTGCCTCCCGAGCGCTGGGACTATAGGCGTGAGCCACCACACCTAGAGAGAATTTATTTTAAAATATTTGTAGGAATCTTTCATATAAACAGACATAAAAGAAATCTAATAGAAAGAAAAAAAGTCATCATCATGTAAGTCCCATATTTTTATATGATTCAGGCAAGAATTGTCAAAGAACAGTAAAATCCTTAGCTGAAAGATTATTGGTGAACAAGATATTCAGTCTCACATGACCCTTCATATTACTTATTAATTAAAAAGGTACTCTCACACTGGAGAAACATAATAGACATCTTCTTAACCTATCATCAAACTGATACTTCTTAATATGATCCACTAAGAAATAAACACCCCTTCTATAGTACTATTATTGCCCCAAAATTTTAATCTTAAACTAATCATAAGAAAAAATGACACAAATACTAAATATGAATATTAAGCAAGACATGATTTAGATGTTTCAAAAATATTAATGATAAGACAAAAAAAGTACGAAAACCGGTCAAGATTAAAGAAAACCTAAGAAACAGGACAATTAAATTTAACTGTAATCCTTGATGGGCTCTTGATTTTTAAAAATAAATACATTTTATTTAATTGGAAATTTGTGCATGTGCGTGCCACACATACATTCAAGCTATAAAGAACATTTTTGAGAAAACTCAGGAAATCTGAATATAGATTATATATTAAACAACAGAATTATATATTTCTTCCTCATGTGATCACTGTGCTTATGTAAGAAAGTGATTTTTTCTTAAGAGACACTGAAGTACAAAGTGAAGTGAGACCAATCCCCAAATCACTGGATGGGAGGGAAGGAAGGAGAAAGGCAAAGAGGGAAAGAGGAGGAAAAGAGAAAGGAAAGAAAATGAAAAAAGAAGGAAGGAAAGGAGGGAGAGGTGGAAGAAAGGAAAGAAAAATGTGTTGTCTACCTCTTCAGTGGTAAATGACAAAATGATAACAGCTAGGGAATACAGGCATAGATTTTCACTATCCTATTCTTCTAACTTTTCTGTTTTCCAACTAAACAGCTAAGGATTAATAAAAAAGAAACTTTCTTGAAAAAATCATGGTGGAGATACAAAGAAAGGTAAAGCATGGTTTTGGCTCTCACCCTCTATTACCATAGGAAAGAAAAAAGCACCCCCACATAAAAACAGACTTAGATGTTCAAATAGGAAGGGGACCTAGGGAGGTGCGAGGGGAAAAGGAAAGAAAAGTAAAGAAAAAATACGATGAGAAAAGCAGGAAAAAATGAAAACAAAGCTTCTGTAAGGAAGGAGGGGAACGGGGTTGAAGGCAGGGTAGGGTTGAATGGGGGAAAGAAGAATCAAGTTATATCATGTACAGGTACAGATTCCCTATAATGAATATGATCATTATATAAACCTAAAATGTACCAATAAACTTAATTAATTAAAAAATCATTAAAAAACAGAATACTTGAAGACAGATATGGCATGATTTAATGTCTCTTCTCTAAACAGGAAGCTCAGCTCTGTATATGCTATGGTTTGGATGTAGTTTGAGCATTCCTCTCCAGGGTTTATATGCTAAAATTGAATCCCTAATGTGACGTATTTAAGATGGTAGAAACAATCTATGGTCATTAGGGAAGAGACCTCATGATTAAATTCTGATGGCTTTAAAGGAGAGTAACCAGAGAAAGACACACACATACATACACACACACGCACGCACGCACAAGGACACGCATGCACACTCCTCCCTCTCTCTTGCAGCATAATGCCTCCACTCCCTAGGACTCAGGACTTTACCAGAAGCAGCATCTTTCCATTGGACCTCTTTCCATTAACACTTACCCAGTCTGTGGTGCTGTGCTATCAGCAACAGGAAACACAAATATATGTCAATAAATCTGATCTTAATATGGAACTTTGATTAAGTCTGCAAATAATAGAGTGGCAATATTTTTTTTAAATTACCAAACATATAAATAATTAGTAACAAAGATGAAAATGAGAGCACAGTATGAGCTAGTTTCTTTAGATAATTATATCAACCTTCTATTTGTTAAGCCAATGGTTTATTAACTTATTCAAATTTTGGAACACTTTTTAAAAATCTTAAGTGGAAGCATAACAGGTCAAACAAAAAATAATACAGACAATTAGGCTACAGAGAAAGGAAAAGAGTAGTTCCTTGGCTGCCTTCCTACTGCCCTGCCCTTCCTCACCACGCACTCCCAAGAGGCCACTACAGAACTTGGGGAACATGGTCTGGAAACAAATATAACAAGGGGCCAGAATTTCTTCTAGCCTGGCCTCTAGTGACAGCAGCTGCCCGAGTTCATCTGAGAAAAACCTTCATGAAAATCTTTCTTCTGAAAATACTTCCAAATATAGAGCAAATAAGAACATCTGATTTTGCTACATTTACTGTACTCCTATGAATACCCATCAGTGCTTGCTCCATTGCATCCAAAAGCTACTGGGCTCTACCCAAAAGTCACTTAATTTAGCAGAAGACAGCACAATGTTCAGTAAAATGAGTACTCACTCCTAGTTGTTCTTTAGTTTTTCTTACCTCTGCTGGTAGAGGACTGGTAGTTACTGGCTTGACTGGGTCATGTGACACAGCCAGAGTTCCTGCAGAGGAAGTTCCATTCATTGTTAATTTGGCTGCATCAGCAACTTCTCCATTGGGCAAAATACCATCAGCAAACCAAACTCTCCTCTGCTCTCTGGGCTGAGCCACTTGAGGGGCCAGAAAAATAAAACAGGCATCAATGTGACATTGGTAGGATTTCTAATATCAAAGAAGAGAAGGTCACCAATTCCAGATAGGAAATCATTATTTAGCTTCTTAACAATTAGAAATATTTTAATAAAATACATACTTAAATATATGATTTCTTTCATAACTTATATGCAAAGACTTAAAATACTTTTCTTTAAAATATTAAGAATTATTAACCACATACTATGTCCTGCATCACTGACAGAAACTAAAGAAAGTCTTTCAAGTGCCTAGAAAACAAATTCATAGCAGCAATAGAAAGCCACATCTCCTGAAAGTCTGAGGTTTCCATAGAAATTAAATATCTGGAAAAGTGATATGGTATTTTTAAAGGGCAAGAGATGCTCTGAAGAATGTTGAAGAATTATTAATTAATAAAAGAAGATTTAGCACAAACATATAAGAATTACATAGCAAACTGACCAGACCTTTGGCTAAAGTATAACTGCAGAAGAAAAAGACTGATCTGGCAGTACAAAAGTAGTCTGAATTTTAATAAAACAACAGAGAAAAGCTGGAAAATTAAGTCTGATGAAATGACCTCTTTAAATCCAGTCTCAGAAATCAAACAGTCAAAACAAAGAGAGACTAGGGAAGAACAACAAAAATGACAAATGAAGGAAAGAGAATAAAGATGTTAAGAAAGAAAGACTGAACTCACAAAAACACATCATTGAGGAATAATCTGAAAAGGGGAAAATGAAGAGTATGCTAATCTTCATAGACATCCTTGATCTTCAAAAGGGGGGAGGGCCATTTAGCAAAGGAAAGGGGCTATTAATAATGAAAAGACGTAAAATTAATGAAAGAAGATTGGTTTTAGTTACCAAGGGAAAAATCCTGACAAGAGCATTCAAGGAAATATATGATTGTTATTTTTACTATTCATTATTCCGTGAACTTTACAAAGTACCTTTCATCTAAAAGGTAGTAATCTCAATAAGTTGAGCCTATAAATTCCTACCTGTCATATGAGAGAATTAAAGTCCTAGACTTTAAAGTATATGTTCCTAAGATAATATTTTCATATTTTATAACGGATAGATTAAAAATTAGAAGAGAAAATGGCAATGAATATTCTGTAAAAGCAATAGTAGTGTGGGCTGGTCATAAGGAAGAACTCTCATTTTCATCACTTAGTAAATTCCTACAAAGAAAATTAAGGTAAGAGTGGGGCTAAGATTTTAGAGGCTGACTGCAAATTCTGTAACTTGTTTCAAGTATAAGCAGTGCAATTATTTCATTCTTAAGCTGGAAAGAAGACTGGCATGTTTTCAGAGATGCCTCCAAACTGGAACATTAGGCAGCAAAATTTTTTTGTACTTGCCCATATAGTCTTGACACATTTCTCACCTTATTCTTCTACTTTAATAACCACCCAAGGGGACTTATCTGCAGTATTTTAAAGACTTGTGCTGTAAAGTCATCAGCACCTTTTCAGAGGAACTGGGTGAGGAAAAAGAGACAGAATAGCACATGATCCCCTACCTTCTGCTCCAGGGTGCTTTAAAACTCCCACAGGTACCATCACAGTGGGAGGTGGAGAGCTCAGGGCTCCTGAGGCCTGAGCTTGCTGCAAGGGAGGGATAGTAGAACAGTATTCAGCAGGATTGTTAGGGTTAGGGCTCTGGCTTGAGGCACTCATCATGTTCTCCCAGGCTTGAGCTAAAGCAAATACAGACACAATCAATGTGAATGGATTACAAAATATGGACATCAAGACCTCCACAATATTGGATAAATAATGTAGCTCTTCCTCACTAGTACTCATAGTATGTCTCTCTTCCAGCTAGTGAAGGTGTTAAGGAGATAGTTAATTTTATTCAATAAAGGAGACCATTTAGCTAAATAAACTATTTGGTTGGAGCACATAAAAATCACATGATATTTTTAAAAAAATAATTACAATATACTTCGGAGACAGACTGGGTAGATCAGTCTGAGTTAAAAAACAAGGCCCATGGATTTTTGAAAGTAGATTATATATTTCTTTAAAAAGGAGTAAACCAACATCAACTTTAAAGATTTGCAACTGGGCTAGCCATTAGGAATTTTCTCATTTATTTTAATAGTTAATGCATTTTATAAACTTGTACCAAATATCAAAATCTGGGGCAAAAATAATAACTCCACTATATGATTTTTAGTTTCATTCCTAGACTTTCAGTCTCTTAGTTGAGATTAAAACCTTATCTGAAAACGTCACAAGCCTAAAGCTCAGGAGAACAGATCTCAATATTTTTATGAATTCTGCTTTTATGTAAAAAATATTCAGCAATAACAACCATTTCACATCTTTAGTGTGTCTCAAAAGCATAGGACCCATTTGAACATGAAAATGTGCCAATATAAATGTGATCAACCAGTACGAATGATCACAAATACATTAAGAGTCTATATACCCTATAGTTTTACTAACTAAATACTGAAGTATCTACTATTGTCTTTGGAAGTAAGCAAGATGAAAAGTGCCATAGAAATGAATGATATCTAATTTTATTTTTGAGTTTCAGGTAATATTATATACACAGGAATAGAAACCACTCAATTTTTGAGCAGCTTCTAAAAACCTCATTTAACATCAAAGAATGATCTACAAGATTTTGAATATTTGTCTCCAAACTGCAAGACAAGGCTAGTAACAAAAGCTGTGTTCTTTTGAAAGCACTGGCAGGAAAGGGGGAGGAAGAGAAAAGGAGAAAGGGGAAAGAGATAGGGAACACTGAAAAGCATCAAATTAAATATTCAGAAAAAGACCAGGCTAAGCCATGCAAGAGGAAAGACGCTGGAAAAACCAGAAGTAGATTACCTTAGGATCCCTGTTAAGGGCCTCCTTGGCTTAACAAAAAGTATTCCATATGTATCCTCTGCCATTTCTTTCATCTTTAGCTATGTCAAGTTAAAAAAAACAAGTTGGAAGACCTCATCAAATAAAAGAGGTATTAGGTATTATACTTAAAACAGCATGCTCTTGTCTGTAGACTTGTGTCCAAAAATAAAAGCAGTAGAATAAAAATCATCAATTGAGCCCCTAAGTGGAATAACCACCATCTAAAAAGTGACCCATAAGAGTAAATGATTCACATTTGATCAAAATTATAAGAATTCAGAAATGGGAGGAAATTGGGTAGTTTATAGGAGATTAGAACAGATCAGATTAACTGACATGCAAAAGGTTAATAAGCCAGCAACAGGAAAACATCACTATGAGCAATGCAGACAGACAGAGCAAGAGGGACCTCAGAGCAGTGAAGTTTCAGCCTGGAGGAGGCATACCATCCAGACACAGGCAGCAGTGGCATCTAGGTTTGACATGTGATGTCTATTAGTAATTGTTTTAGAAAGTATACAAAGACACATTCAAAGAGAAAAAAAAACATATATAGCCTCATCCATTTTATTGTATATATTCACAGGAATACTCAGGGAGTTTTGGTGTTTTTTAACTGAAATGCCCTTGAAAGTAATTTCTAGTCACACAAAAGATGAACAATGAGTAAGTTTTATTTACCTTCCCCTGGCCATATTATTTCACTACACAGCAACTAAATTCAAAAACATTATCCTTATAACAAATCTAAACAGAACTACAGAAATAAAGGGTAAAAAGTACAATTTTCTACTTGATCCTGGATTCTACAATATTTATTTTTATGAAAATAAAAGAAAAAAGGTGTCAAGAATGCGTTCTGTGCTACGGATGTAGCTCAGTGGTACAGTGCTTGCCTAGCATACACAAAACCCTGGATTTAATCTCCAGCACCACGATTTTTAAAAAAGAGAATGTATTCTAAGTTATTAACGTGTTCTCTAGAAAGAGACAGCTTCTCTGGAAAGGAAAACTTTGGTCCAATTTTAGTATTTCATCAGGTGGTCAATAGCACCCCAACTCCACTGCCCTAGTCACTTCACATGAACATTAATAGATACATAGCACCAGATTTCCAAAGAACTTTATTTCTCCCACAAAACTTACCTGGCTTTAGCATTCACTCACTAAGTTAGGCACAAATTTGGAAATGCTAAGCCACTTTCAAAACACAGAAGTTAAGCACAAGATTTTTAGTTATGATTTCTGAGGTAAAACATAAAAGTAGCCCTTTCATAGTGGTTTTTGCTCTGTTTGAATGACTATGACATCAATATGTTTTAATACTTACCATTCATTAGCACTGAATGGCAGATTACACACACTCTAGCTTCTTTTCGATCCATGTATAACAGCTTACATTTCAGGCTACAGCAGGAAGCACAGAAAACCTGTGGTGAAAAAGAACACACTAAACTTATTCGTATCATAGTACAAAGGAAGCAGAACAATTCTGGTCAATGCTGATTGACAAAGAGTTGTGTTAGAGTACAATACGAAAAACTTCAAGATAAAATGTAGTTCAGGCCGGGTAGGAAGGTGCATACCTGTAATCCCATCTACTCAGGAGGCTGAAATAGGAGGATCCTAAGTCCACAACTATTCTGGATAATTTAGCAAGAACCTGTTTCAAAGTACGATATTTTCTAAAGGGACAAGGACATAACTCAGTGGTACCATGCCTGCCTAGCAGATATGATACCCTGGATGAAATCCTTCATATAGGAAAAAAAAAAAAAAAAAAAAAAAAAAGGAAAAAACGAAGCCAGGAATCTGTGCAATCAGGATGTGAGGGTGACCTGGCTGCAACATCTACCACTCCATTGACTGCCAGGGTTGATTCAGGTGATTTGGCTGGCTAGATGGGTGTTCACTTCCTCCTTCACAGCTCCACATACGCCCCTCCTCCTCAATGCTGTGGGTTTGGTGGAAGAGGATGACCACCCCCTATAGAGGACGCCCTTTTCTTCAGCCAAGAATATACAAGTAGCTGTGCTCCGAGGAGCCACGGCGGGGAGCACCAGTCTTCCAACCGGCACCTTGCTCCCTGCCTCATAGGCCCCAGGAGAGCCATGCGGCCGAGAGCGCTGTGGCATGCCGGCCTTCAGGCCGGCCGCCGCTGCTCAATTGAGAACTATCATGACACAGAGAAACAATGACACAATTGGCCCACCAT